ACTCTGGGGGGCAAAGCCAGAGTACTTGCCGAGGGGGGTTGGGCAGGAGAAGGGGGGGGCGAAGGGGGCAGGAATGAAGCCACACAGACCCCATGGATCTTCCTGCTCGGCCCTGGCTGGGAGATTCCCCCTCCTGTCCCAGAGTTAAGGCATCTGAGCAGGAATTGGCTTTGAACCCAGGGCCAAATGGCGCTCACCATCATTCCACAGAAAATATTCCTGATTATCCCAATTTTTTTAAGTTCAGCAACACAATTAGCAATTGTGAAAGCAATTAGAAACCGTTCTTCCCAGGGGCTTGCAATGCACCAGGTTTACTCTAGATCTAAAACACTTTGTTCAGTTTCCAGGAAACATGTTCAGGAAGTTTTCCTCCTTCTGGGCTGATCTTTTCTCCAGCAGCACTTTGGAAATCACCCTCCACAAGCAGAATCGCAGCATCCGCGAGTGGAAAAGAGCCACGGAGGTCATCCAGTCCACCCCTGCCCAGTGTAGGGACTCCAATTAATGCCTCCTTCCTCCCCCCAAGATGGCTCCAGCCTCCGCTTCAGCCTCTCCAGGGAAGGGGAGCCCCCGAACTCTCTGGACGATGGGTTCCCTGGTCAAACCGCTCTTAACAAAAGATTCAACCAGAACCTGCATCCCTCTCTCTTAAATCCATCAGTTTATGACTTATTGGATTGGGTTTTCCTAATTCAATTGAAAGGAAACTTTGTTATGGCCAAAGATCAGCACTCAATAATAATACCACTAAAAAAACGAAGTAATAGGATGAAGAAGGGCAACATACAAAACCACCATCATAGAATCAGGTCTACTACAATAAGTAGAAAAAACAGTGTAACAGGAGAGTCAAGTCTATAAAGATATATAATAAGCAACCCACACCTCACCAGAAATAAATAAGGTAAAACTACTATAAAATTATCCTTTCTGAAATACACGAAACCAGCTGAGGAGAAAAACCGGGCAACGTTCTGCGTGACAGCAGAGCTCCCTTCAGACACCAGGAGAGATGCGTAGAAACTCTTGGGCCGTCTGCTAGCCATGGTGAGGTAAAGGGGCTTTGCAAGAGGCAGATCTCTGGAGGTGCTTATGCACTGATCCACTGGCATTTTAGAGGCTTGGCCTAGATAGGTTTGGTGCTCCATGTCCATAAGGCACTGCCTGAGAAGCTATGTTGCCTGATCATAGTCCTTATCAAGTACCTCTTCTGCGGGAAAACAAGGGATCTGGGGTTTGTTTTTGAGACAGCTCGTCCCAAAACGCTTGAACGATCTGACAGAATCCAGGGGCCAAGGTCTCTCCCCACAGGAAAAGAGGTTTCAGCTAACAGGCAAAAATTAGGAGCCAGAATCTGCCCTCGACCTTCATCAGCCCCGACTCCAGGCACGGGGACCTTGAGAAGCAGAACAAGGCGCCTGAAACACCACCTGGAGGAATCAGGGCTGGACACGCTCCAAAGAGCCAAAGCTGGAAAATGGTCCAAGCTGCGCCCCATAAGTGAGCCAGGCCAAAGATTAAGAAGGGAATAATTTCAGAGCCACTGGAAGGCATCATCCCCCCCGGCCCCCACATTTCCTAGAAGGCAGTCAAGTCAAGATAGCTGGATGTGCCCTTCATCTACCTGAGACATGAAACACTCCCCCCCCCACGTCTCCATTCCCTAGAATCACAAGATGCCTGCTGAAATTTTTGGCGGTCACAGTGTTAGAAGGTTGGGACATATAGGCATTTTATATATATTTATATATATTTTGGATATTTTGGATATTTGGACATTTAGATGTTTTAAACACTTGCCTTTACCTGCTTGTGTAACATGAAGTAAAAACAGGCCCGGCAATATGCCAATATTCCCTTTCTTGTATG